CAAATGCTTTTTGAGAGAAAATTACTCAAATACTAATCCATTTAATGAGTAAAGCCAGATTTTAAAAAGCAACACTAGTTTCCATTTTAAAAATACAGTGATATTTCTAGTAGATCTACTAGCAGATGCCACAACACAATGACACTTAGAAGAAGCCGCCCAGTAATAGCACTTGGAAGGGAAACTCCTTGGGCTCTGAATAATTTTTACCCTTGGATTTGGAAAATAGATTGGTCTAAACATGCATCCACTCACCTGCTACCACACAGGGTTGTCTTTCTTTTCTTAACTAAATTTTAGACCCTGAATCTAACATATACATTTTTCAACAAAATTATTATGTGTGAATTCTTTAAGCTGTAATTTAATTTCTTCTCAAAAGGAAATGGAGGCTTTTCCAAGTGCAGAGTTCTACTGACTGTTGACCCAAGAATCTTCTTACAAAGGATGACAATCCCACTGAGTAAGATTTGAAAAGAATAGAGGAAAAATGTGAACAAAAGACACATGAACCTCTTATACATTAAATCCTTCAGTTATCCTGTTTACAACCAAAAGACACAATAACAAACCCTAACTTTAATAAAATTCATTATTAAAATTTATTGAAATAGAGCTTTCCTTTATATTGAGGGTAAATCAAGTTTTATTTTGCACATTTGGTTTATATGTGTATTTAAATACTATGCATAAATATTGCAACAAAACCTTAGCTTATGCTTTTTATTCAAAGAGCCCACAACCTATGCTTAATCCTACTACTTATATTTACAGAAAAGTTCAAACCAACATTTTAAAAGATGTGTGAACATAATAGATAAGATTTGGTTAAAAAAAAATTTCAAATAATTTGGATGAATTAAGTGAGAAATTTAATAAACTCAACCAACATAAGAGCTGGCTAAAAAATGTTATTTAATTCAAGAACAATAATCTTTTGGTGTTTAAAAATAGCCAGTCAACTGGAATGATAAAGACATTAGGATTTTTTACTATCCAAATATATAGTTTCAGTACTAGCATCCCTTTAAAGCCAGGCGTGGCATCTCATGCCTGTAATCCCAATACTTAAGGAGGCTGAGGCAGGAGGGTTGCTGTGAGTTCAAGCCCAGCCTGATCTACACAGAGACCCTGACTCAAAAAAAAGGAAAAGGAAAATGGAATTATTTTATAGACAGTTCACGTATTTTACTGGTTTAAGTGGTTTTGTTTGTTTTAGTGATGCTGGGGATAGAACCCAAGGCTTTCCACATGGCACTCCACCACTAAGCTATATTCCCAGCCCATATTTCATTCATTGTCTAAAATTTTCAAAAACAAGAGTTGGTAAACAGAATTAGGTTTAAATACAAGTATTACAATCCATCTATCTAATATTTAATGAACTATAATAGGAATAAAGACAGGTAAATGATGTTTTTTGTTTGTACTAACCCAGGGCCTTGCACATGCTAGGCAAGTGCTCTCTACCACTGAGCTACATCCCCAACCCTTTTCAGTTTTGAGATGGGGTCTTGCTAAATGTCCAAGCTGACCTCGTACTTGGAATTATACTGCCTCAGCCTTTCGAGTAATTGCGATTACAGGTGTGTGCTGGCACAGACAATTATTTACAATTTAAATATTGATATCCATGTGACCACCTTTGAAGTAGTAAAAATTTAAATAATTATTTAAATGCATGGATTCTCCTAAAACATTCATATTTTATACACGGGTTTTTTATTTCATATAATTTTCAGTCACTTTTATTAGAAAGCAAAACCTAATTAAAACTGTGAAATCCTGGAATAGATTTCTCTGCTCATTCAATAAATTAGTTCTTGTTGCTCACTTAGAACTTCATGTTGAGCTCTTTTTCTTACTGCTTCATGCTAAATACAATTATGTAATACTGTGTAATACTTTAAACAGCCCATGAACACGTTCTGTCTCCCAACTTGACTCTATGCTCTGTGGTGGCAGAGACTGTTGAATGTTTAGCCCATTTTTGTAATCCCAGCATTCTTTAGTGTTAAATGTTTTGTTCTGTTGTTGTTATTGTTTTGCATTATGAAAATTGAGCCCAGGGCTTTCACACTGAGCTTCATGCTATAACCCTAGCCCTTTTTTTGCTTTTTTGAGACAGGTCTTGCTAAGTCACTAAATTTCCATGCTGGGCAGAAACTTGCAATCCTCCTGCTTTAGCCTCTCAGAGTAGTAGACATTCACCAATAACCCTAGCTACAATATTTTTTTTTAATGAATCAGTAACTTAATTTCTGTAGCTGGTTCTATAATCTCTACAATGGCTTATATGGAGGAAAGAAAAGGAAAGGACTTGTTTATAAAACTTTTATTAAAATGTTTTCACAAGAAAAAAATGTAATAGGTACCGGATCATCTGAGTACTGAAATATAAAATAAATACATATAAAATAATTCTAATTTTATTATAAGTATATAGGGGCTGGGATGTAGCTCAGTGATAGTTATTACTGTAAATAATTTTATTCAGTCAAAAACTGACAAACATTTAAGCCCAGAGAATTAAATAATGAAAATAAACTACTAAATATTATTCAGAACTTTATTTCAACTCGATTTATATTTTGTAACTTTTATTTCTAATATTAATAAAATGCAAGTTAATCCCCGGTACCAAAAAAAAATGCAAGTTAAAGTCAACAAAATATGATTTAGCAATCAAGAATAAAATTCACCATAAGAAAAATTACATCATTACTTCTCTTATCACTGTAATTTCTCAACATTTGGTACTTTAAATTCATTTTTCTATTACCAGTGTTTAAAAAAAATAACGTAATTGCAAAGGACATTATAATTTACTAAATATTCACATTATAGTTGTAACAAAAATGAATCTACAGTATGTCTCAACTACCACTGTACTAAGTACATTCTTTGGAAAGCAAAGCAG